CGACCTTTGGGAGAGACTCCGAATTCATTTCAAGAAGATGATAGTGATGATGACAAGTTAGAGTATTGGAAGAGTGACTGGCATGAGATGGAAGAAACACTTGCGCATGCTGAGATCAGATTTATTTGTTGTCAGTTCAGTCTGCAACAAAAAGAACAGAATCACGGCAAACTGAACAGCGCTCTTTGCCAGCGTCACGACAGGCAATTCGTTGGCCCTGATACTTGGTGGTATGCCTGGCTTAAAAGAGTGCTGGGATCCTGTACCATTAAAGGCCACGAGCTTAGCCTTACACTTTCTTTGCGGAGCTTTGGCCTAAGCAAGCCCTTGCGGATCTTGGAACGTGAATTTGCTTTTCCGATTTTGCTGTTTTTTTCTTCTTTTCATTGGACCTTGACACCAGTCGTTGTTTTTTTATCTTTTTCTTTGCTATATTTTGTATTCTTTCCTTGAAGGTCTTAGGTCTTGGCTTGAACTACACCATTCATGAGAAGAACGCTCTTAACATTCCCTAGACCCTAGGGCTGGAATGCAAGTTGCCTGTGAACAAGTGCCGACAGCATTAATAAGTATACGCAAGTAGATTGGAGGCCATCGTATATATACCTGTTGCTGGCTTGAGACCATGCAGGCATAGCGCAAACAGCTGCGTAAGTAAAACCGTAAGAAATAGGCCAGGCATTGCATTTTCTGCCAGCTTGTTCGTCAAGCTGAAGGCCTTAGAGCAACAGGCCGTTTTCAATCAAATCTAGGCCTAAAGGCTTTCTATTGGTCTAGAAACGACTTTGCGAGGGATTCTTGAGAATATTTGTGCGAGAACAGGGCGCTTCAAGAAGACTCGGTGACGTGTTTTGTGTTTGGCATCAGGTCTTCAGCGCAATTGCTGTCGTGTATGCCTTTGGAGTCTCGGCAAGCGATTGGTGATCAGAAATAATGGCTTTCTGCCGAGAAAACTATAGAGGACCTCACTCTCACGCTACTAGTAACAAGTGCCACGCTAGTAGTAACAAGTGCCACGCTAGTAGTAACAGGTGCCTTACTAGTGACTTACTAGAGGACTATAGAGACGACCACGGCCATATGAGTTTTCGTTAGGAGACTTTCTCGAGATGCAATCCATGGCAGTGATGGGTGGTGCTGCGCCTCCTGCTTAGCATGTCAACGATGCCCTGCTCTTCTATGCTGTTTCAAGAAGTCCGTTCCAAGGTACCAGATCTTGCTTCAGAGCAAGTTGGTCGTCACCGCCCTGATCATGTGGGCCATGCGTGGTCAGCGTCAAACTACGCTGCAATGGAATGTCTTAGGTGCGACGAAGCGGAGCAACACAAGTATGACTTGGAACCATTTGGTGTAACAGATCAAGTACAGATGACCCTTTTCACCCGCAAACTACGGAACTGATTTGATCGGCCAGTAACCATCGCGCTGGGCATGAGTGCCTTTGTGCTAGCCGAAGACAGCAGCGACCAGGCTCCGAAGTGCATTCCGCATGGTGGACCCTTGCTACTAGTAGCGTCCTCTTGTTTAGCGATGCCAGGAGCCCCTAATAGCGTCCTTGCTCCTAGTAGTAAGGCCAGGAGCCCCTAGTCTATTTTCCCAGGAAAGATGTTCACTTTGGAGCGGATTAAGCAAACAAGCGGCGCAACTGAGTAGTATTGCCTTGGGGCCAAGGTTGTTTTTACATGACCCGTGATAAGGCTCTTTCCTGTTGCCTTTTCATTTCAGTATCTAATCAGTTTTTTTTGAAGATTTAGTTTTTGCTTTTCCAAAAGATAACTGGATTGTGTGATCTGCAGACCTTTTGCTTTCAAGATGTCAAGATGATTTTCGAAGGTCTGCATCTGCCAGTCTTTGGTAGTTTCCGGTGGAGATATCCAGGTTGAGACGAGGCATGGACGATGAAGATTATGCAATGGACTACGCATGTGCACGCTTAGAAGCATCTTTGGGGCTTCACAAGGCAAAGATTGAGACCTTAAGGAAGCTGGAGAAGCGATTGGATGCTCGGGTTGCTCGGCTAGGAGAGCTGAGCCTGGCAGCAAAGACGCTGGTTGACTCCATGATGAGAAATCCTTTCCAAGCTGCGGATGATTCTCCTCTAGTTTCTCCTTCAGTGTCTTTCAAAGATTCACAGGAAAAGCAGGAAGAGAAGGAAGAAGAGAAGGAAGAAGAGAAGGTAGAAGAGAGGGAAGAAGAGAAGGAAGATGGGGATCGACCAAAGAATCAAGTTTTAAAACGATCAGTGTCTTGGGTCAGTGAACCGCCTCATGAAGAGGTCTTGATGCCCGGCAAGGATTCACCTGATGCACATCGGATACCACCGCACGGCCATTGGGTTCCCAGCGATGTCCTTGAAAGACGATCTTCCTTTCAAGGTGAGTCAGCAAAGAAACTGGGTGGGCGACAGGTTGAGTTGCGAGCTGGTGAATCAACCGTCCCTTGCATTTTAGTGGAACCCATGGGTAAACTCATCAACAATGAGTTCGTGTCGACGGGCATGGCGGTGGTTTTTGAAGAGACACATGCCAAGAGCACTGAAGAGTGGGCACAAGTCTTGAAGCGAACCAAGCTCTTGGATGCAGGTGTTTCAGTAGCCATTCCACTTTTAAAGGAAGCAAAGAAGGCAAACAATGCTGAAGAGACTGAAACACTGTTCAATGAAGCGTCCTTGAAAGACTTGCATGATTTGGTCGGCGCCATTATGGCGATGTGTAGCAGTGATCTATGCATTTTGTGTGGCAAGGGTCCAGGGGCGCAGAAAGCAATGGAAGTGGCACCCATGATTCCTGGTACCGCCGCAAGCATCCTTTTCGCTCCATCATCACCCCCACCAACCTGCAGCTTTATGGGTCCTGTGATGCTAGTTTGGGCACAGGATGACACGGAGTCTCCCTTCGAGAATGCTGGTTTTTGGGCTGAAGCTCTTGCCAATCGGGAGGAATCCACTGCCGTGGCCGTCTTGCGAGATCCAGCAGTTGGGGGCCATGACTTGTCTCGGATGCTTCGAAAGGATGACGCCTGCGCTGCAGATGTCCTCTCCTTCGTGGCAGCAGCCCTTTTGATCACCGAGCTCAGAAGGTTTGATCATTTTCGAGATCAACGCCAACCTGGCGATGGCCAAGCGAACTTGGACGCTTTGCAAAGTCGTTTGTTGAAACTCTTTGAGGAATTGCCCTTGCATCTCACATGTCAATTTGTTCGACAGCGAGTCGAAAGCAATCCTGCTGCTTTGGAAGGAAAGCACGCAGATGACTTAGCCATGGCTTTGGTGTCGCATTTCTTTGAGAAGCCAGATGCGGCTCCTGAGATCGCAGGAGCTTTGAGTGATTGGATCAATGGTGACATGCCTTCGGTGGCCTCAGCCTCTGAGTAGAGGCCTCAGCCTCGAGCCATCCTTGCTAATGAATCTCGCTGCGGATCGTGGGAATCGTGAACGTTTCACCCCAAGTTAAGTCCGCTTCGTGGTGCTTCTTCCGCGGAAGGATTTGGGAAGCGCCCGTGGCTTGTGTGACAAAGCCTTCACTGAGCCCTAAGACAATCCGTTGCGCTATAGAAGGCGCTCTTGCAGAGCTTTGTAAGAGAGAAACAAGCGATGGCCTACCACCTAGAAGCGATGGCCTCCAACCTACTAGCGATGGCCTCCAACCTGAAAGGGACCGCCTCCAACCTAATAGAGATGGCCTCCAACCTACCGGCAATGGCCTCCAACCTGGCGATGGCCTCCAACCTACAAGCGATGGCCTCCAACCTGGCGATGGCCTCCAACCTACAAGCGATGGCCTCCAACCTGGCGATGGCCTCCAACCTACAAGCGATGGCCTCCAACCTACAAGCGTTGGCCTCCAACCTAAGAGTGATGGCCTCCAACCTACAAAGCCGCATCCTTCTTGGTCTTGTTTCAAAAGCATTCAAGAAGCATTCCACTTTCCGCGGAGGAAGACACACGATGCCACAGGGTACCCTCCTAGGGTACTCACCATGCGCCAGATCCCAGATTTGCGGTTCTGAACCCTTCGATATCCTTCGATCGATCCGGAATCTGACGCTTTTCCAGGGCGCTTTCCAGCCCATTGGCTTGGTCTTTGTGGTGGCCAAGGCTCGACCAAGACGCAACAAAACAAAGATCGCCAGTGGGTTGCTGAGGCTTTGAGGTGTTTCTCTATAGTTTTTTAAAAACGAATCACATGATCTATCATGATTTTGTTTTAGTTCGGTTGCCTGACTTGTGGCAGGTCTTCTTTTCGTGCCTCTGTGCCGTGCTGGCAGAGAAGCACCTCAAGGCCAACATACTCTCGAAGGTTGCAAATAAGGAAGCCAATATATTTTTACAAGTCAACTTCGGAGTCGTCTGGAAGAAATCAACTTTGCACGGGTGCTTTTCTTTCAAAGCGCAGGCCTTCAAAGAGATGCCCATTTACGCGCAGGCAGAGCCGCGGACCATGACTGCCCTGACCTTCCAATTCTCTGAATCCGAACATCGGCAACAAGCGTGACGACTAGAGGTTTTATCTCGTGACAGCGAGACAGGCAGTTCTCGGTGGAAGTCTAGACCTCCCCAATTACCCTCGGAAAGGGAACGGCCTGTCTCCGAAAATATCATCTACAGTATTTTGCTACTAGTAACAAGTGCATCGCTAGTAGTAACAAGTGCCTTACTAGTAGTAACAAGAAGCTATTAGAAACAA